TATTTTTTAAAGATACTCACGAAATATAACTCCAATATTTCATTAATCCGAAAAATGATATTATTTTTTAAAGATACTCACGAAATATAACTCCATTAAAAAAATTATCCCCATGGCGATGATATTATTAGACCATACCATCGCTCTCGAGGAAGGCCAACGTGGGGGTCTTTTGGTCTTCAGTGTACAGAATGCGAAAGCGCTTGACCAGGTTTACAAAGTACGCGTTGAGCTCGGGGTACCATAGGTCGTGGACCACCCCCCGATGAAACGGATTCACGGCCGTCCTAATCCTCCATCGTAGTCCTTTAGTCGTGGGGATCGTGCTTTTCGTTTATATATATATATATACAGTATATACAGTCATAAACGTACTTGGAAAGAAGATGATCTGTGCTTGAAAACAGCGCGACGCCATTCACAGACAAATCGGCTTCGCAGAACGAATGCAGCATCACGTGGTGGGCGGACGGGTCGCTCACGTACACGTTGAGCGCGTGGTGTGGGTCTAACGTACGCGTAATGATGGTCTGATAGTACTGTTGGCCGCTGCCCACGCGCGCCATTTGCTGCAGAATGTGGCGCATTCTTGTTTCCAGAGTTTTGAGCGTCGAATACCTGCAAAACACACAAGGTAGACATTACGATTCGTAGTTCCAACCCAATGCGCAAATACGACAATGACAAGGAGCAAAGAAAAATCACCTTGACAGCGACGTAAACAACCCCCTTGTGACTGTGGACGACAAGGACGAGCCGCCACCGCCGCCCCCTTCGCGATACCGCAGCGTGTCCAACGTTAACGCTACGCACACTTGGCTGGCGATGCCCAAGCTGTCGCCGTCTAGCTTTAACCCGCGTCGCAGCAAACACTCGACAAATTTAGCCTGGGGCATTTCCGCTGTCGGCGACTGGCCGAGTTTTTCCCACTCGAGGTCCCCTTCGACGTCGGGCTGTTCGATTTTAAACAGCAGCTGAATTGCGTCCGACACGGATTGGATCGAGTAGCTGGCAAACGACCCAGCAAAGCCTGAAGGCGCGCTGAACAAGGCCAGCAACACGTCCCCGGCGCACACTAGTTTCGCAGCGTCGGTCGTGTCGAAGATGCATGGTGTGCACACGAGCGCAATACGCTGGAGCATTGGTAGGTCCACACTCCACCCGATCAGACGATACAACTGCTGCGCCATCCACGCCAGTTCATGGGGGGTCATGCCGGCGTAAAAGTTGCCCAGCACGTTCTTCACGTCGGCTTCTTCGATTCGGTGTTCCTTGCAACGTTGCTCGAGGTCGATGATTTTGTCCAACAAGACACGTTCGTGGGACGCCGCCGATGGGCCTATTCGTACATATCAATACCATCCGTATTAGTCTATTTGGGGATACGTTGAATGAACTTGACAAAGTCCGCGAGGTGGATGGTGGCTCCATCTCCTCGATGCAGTCGATGCGCGAGGAGCCGCAGGTCCACCGGAGATGCAGCAAGACCGATGGACTGCACCAAGTAGCTCAGCTCGGCCATCTCCATGGTCCCGTCGCCATTCACGTCAAACTTGGCAAACAATTTTGCAATGCCGCCGGCCTCGTCCATGGCGTTGTCCATGACTTGGACGGCTCCCACGCGCTGAAACAAGACGTGCTCGGTCTGCAGCCGCGTGTCCAGGTCGGTCTTTTCAATGGGCTGCGAGTTTAGCAACCACGGCGACCGCGACGACATTGCACACGCGTCAGTCACCATGTCTTCGACCAAGCTCTGCGCAAACGTGAGGAACCCTGCGTTCTTCTTGTCGACGAGCATGGCCGCCCGCGTCGGAGACGTCGCGAGGTGCCGGGTAGACGCTACGCTGTCACTGGTTTCGTCGTCGTGAAGGCGGGGAGACCACATGCTTTCTCGACCTAGCAGCCACGTTTTGAACTCTTCGAAGCTCAGCGATCCGTTGTTGTCGACGTCGAGCTCTTCAAACACGCCGTCGATTTGGTTGGAGGTGAGCGGCGGGTGCATTCGCAACTTTTCGAGCAACTAACGTCGATTCATGTAACAAGGAGTTAGTTGGAGTCCACGATGCAGGTTCGAAGACAGTTAGTAGGTACGTTCATAGTCGTATTGATACAAGGCAGAGTTCAATAGGAAAAGATTGTCGAGGGAACTGACATGCTCAAATTCGTCGCGACTAAGGTCTCCCGAGTGGTTTTCATCCAGCGATTGAAAAATTTGATCGAGGGCTTCGATTTGAACGTCCGTGGCGGCCAACTTAGACAACAACATCGTGCGCAACTGCATACCCAGCACTTCGATGTTGCCGTTCTCGTGCAGATAGCAGTCGTCGCAAAACTTGTCGTGTTCTGCCATCTTCCGGTAGCACTCGTCGCAAAACAGATTCACACACCCCTGCGCCATGCACATGCGGTCGTTGTCTTGCTTGCCGGTCACGACAATGCTGGCGCCGCAGTCGCTGCAGTGGACGGTGTTGGTTCCGCTCTTGCGGCCACCAATGAGGCGCGGTAAATTGGCTTGCTTTTGCTTGTCGCCAAACACTTGGGCTTTTTTGTGCCGAATTTGCTGAAACATAGTCCACCGCTTGGTCTCGAGCGATTGCATGTACGGACTGCTGTGGAGTAACTTTTGTTCTGGCGTTGGCTGCCGACCAACGCCCACGGCAGTTGTGGACCCCTAGCAAAATGATGTAGTTATACAACAACATATGATATTACGTTTGGCCTCGACACGATAGGCGAATGACATTGTCAAATCGATTCGAAACTGGAGCCTTCAATGTCTAAAGAATACTATGGATTAAAGACCCGCCTAAGCCAATCAAATCACGTTCTGTTGAATTTCTGCCAATCCAAACTTCAGCCCAGCCAACCAGGTATACTATATTTTGTATGGCATAGTTTGTATAAGCTTAAATTTGATCAAATGGATTGGCGAAATGAATCAAAAGTCCCAATTTGGGAGAAATACAGATATAGCATTTGTACATACATATGTTGTGTACAACATATGTATGTACAAATGCTATATGTGACAAGGAATGATATACGAAAGGGCAATGGTCGCATAGATATGATCACTAACGTTACGCAATGATACTGGTTTATAGGGTTAGGGGTACCGTACGGTCGAGTCGGTGGAGTCGATAACGGCCCAGTTGAACGGTTTGCGTGACTCGGACACTTGTTTCTCCTTGGTCGTTGGGGACGCCAGGCTGTTGGAACCTGCCGCCGCGGCTAACATGTCGAGCCTTGATTGCACGAGCACAAAGAACTGTTGGACGGGGGTCGTGTCGTGTCGAATGAGTTTCTTTTTCGGTCCTCGGGGGTTGGCTTTTTGCTTGGGTTGTTTGTATTTCGTCACAAGTTCTTGAATGCGCTTGTGAAACACGGCGTCCGTGGGATGCAACGCCTGCAGGAACGCCACGTGCAAGTCTTGCAACAGCGCGGGGTTGTCCTCCAAAACGTCCAACACACATGTGCCATGTTGAAGGGCTTCCTTGGCCGAAAACGAAAGGGATGGCAATGTCAAGAGAGGAAGCGTATGCTGTTTGATTTCTGCACTTGCCAAGTCTTTTCCCCCAACCTATCCAGATTATGTTTTCACCCAATGTTAGAAACACTGGCAGTGATTGGTTGATATTTTTTAGGTATATATATTAATATATACCATACTACATGCATAGATTTACCACGTGTACTTCGAGGATGCCCTCTTGGTTGACTTTCTCGGGCACTTCTTCGTCTTCTCTCTCTGGCACGACCGATGCAATTCGATCTTCTTCAATGTCCAGCATGAAGCACTCCAGCAGCTCCTCTGCCTGGATCGTGTTGCTCTTGTCCTTGTCCATGCCGTTGAACAAGATAAGCACCTTTTCGTCGCTCATTTCATCCATTTTGAACCCCAGGTTCATCATCCGACGTTTGAAATCTGTCTTTCGCAGCGCGCCGGCATTGGCAAACTCGCGCTTCGCTTCGCGATATCCGATGCCTACACTGGGATATTTAGAAATATATAAATATATACAACTCTTACCTTTGGCTCGCGCTTGGGCCAGCATTTCGTCCTTTAAATTCTCAAATTGGCGATGCTGCGCTTCCCCGGGGACGACAATCTCCTTGAACGCATGCGACAGCACACCTGGTACAACTGGAGGCCCCCTTGGAATTGATAAAAAGTCGGTCATTTCCTCTTCTTCAACAATAGGCTGCCCCCCCTCCAGGTGAAACACGGGTCGTTGGCCGTACACGGAGATCCAAAAGCGGCCCATGTTGGTCTTGCCGGTGTCTTTGTTCTGTAGCGCTATTAGCCAAACATGACATTTACTCATGCAACGTACAGTGCGCATGTACATGCTAGGAATGATGCAATAATTGCCGGGTTCGATCACCAAGTCGACCTATATTTCCAATGGTTAGTATAAGCAACGGGACTCATGAAATAATCAAACGTTAAAACGTACGGTCACGGCTTGCTTGAGAGTGTACGACGGCTGGGGGACGCCGTCGTCGTCGATTCCAGGAATGACAGACCCGGGAATAACCCCAGGCGGCAAGGGCTCCAGAAGTGTCCCATTGCACAGCCCTGGTTGGCTGGCTTTTTGGTACAATCGATAATACGGCGCCGCCTTTTTCGGTGGCTCTTTGACTTCGAATTTGTTGCCATTGACCTCTTGCAATGTGCAAATGTGGAATCTACCCCGTGAAATGAGTCAGCAAGTCCAATTTCTACGGCATAGGAGCGATATTGGTGGTGTTACCCAATGGGAAAGATGCCCGACTCGGCCGAGCCCCGCGGGTCGTGCTGGCTCATCGACATGTACAAGTGACATCGCTCCTTCACAAGCAGCTGGTAGCGTGGGTTGTTGATCCACGTCGACTTGGTAGTGTTGCCGCCGTTGGATGTTTCGTCCCACTTCCCTTCCACCCGCAACCCGCACCATTCGTCCGCGAAATCTATGACATCGCCGTGAGGCTGATTGATGAATTACCTGACTTTACTGACCAATGCCCGCGAAAAAGTGGGTGTACCGCGCCTTCCAGTCGTCGAACGACATGAAGAACGTGCCGTCGTTTTGATTCACGTCGGTCACTTCTTCCTGGGGCTCCGTGGCTAAGTTGACATTCCCTATACATCCCCTTTGGTTCAATGTTGGAAAATGATATATATCAGAGTAGCCAGTCGCGACATTTCCTTTCAGTTGTTATAGAAGACTGTGTCGGTCGTACGTTTCAACTGCATAGACGTAAACACATTCGCCCCGAGCTGCCGCGTGACGGTCTTGAACACGCGGTGGATTTCAGCATCGTATTTTTCCCGTTCGTCGCTTTGGTCGCTCCATGGACCAGTCTATATCGTCGAAATTGAATAAATATTCAAATAACGACGATGTTTACGAATTATATTTATACCCATTCCCCCATGCCCCATGGATTGCGCACTTTGACGAGGCGTTGGGTTTTGTTGCCCTCGAGCTGGATCTCGCCCACGTCAACGAGCCCATACGCGTGTTTGTAGTATAAGCCTAGGATCGGGACCTTTAATACTTTAATTGTGCCCCTCATATATATATATCTTACCTTGACCCGCACTGCCTTCGGCGACGATATTTTTGTTGCCTTTTGGGTCGGGCTGGATCGAACACCCCATCAACGTGCCGTTACGTTTATATGTGAGCAGTCGCTTCCAAAACCCATCGCCTGCTTGTTCCCCGGGCTTGGGGGCAAACGGGTCGTCCCCATACCCAGCATAGTCTGGCTTTAAAATGATTTGCTCCGAGCACAGGCCTGTCAAATCGCTCAAGGCGACGTCGATGTAGCCCCCAATGAGGGCTTCGTAACTTCCGTGCAACTTTGCATAGGCTTTCTCAATCAGGGGGACCCTACCACGAACATAATCTTGAGTTTAAATGCCATTCAAGGGTGACTAAGTGTGTACCACAACTCGTTGGGGTCGCTGCAGCGGGCAAAGAACGGTTTGCCTGCTCGATTGTTCGTGTAACCAAACACAGGAATGCGGTCGTCCAGCACGACGTAATGCCACACGAAGTCCTACGAAGCGTTGAGTCGGCCGTGGATGCGCCTCTGACAAAAACGACAACCTTCATGAATCGGCACACAAACATGCCGTGCTGTTTGTATTGGTCTTCCCGCCAAAACACTTGGATCAGCAACTGCATGCGCGTAGCCAACACACTGATGGCACCTACGTGTTTTGTAGCCCTCAGGCATCGAATTGAAAGGGGGATAGTGCATACCCAAGAACCAGCAATCTCCTAAATTGCCTTGGATCACGTCGCCGGAGCTGGCCGACTTTGTGAAGAGTTGCCCTTGTTCACAAAAAACGGGATCGTCGGGTGCAGCTCGACTGTCCGAGTCCCTACCAGATCATCAAGGAATTAATCAATCTGCTAAGGAAGTACTAAACTTTACTGTATCGTACTCGCTCTCGTCCAGAACATCTTTGGCCTCGGAAGCGTAGTTGGGACGTTGCCATTTCAGCTTGTCTTCTTTGACCATCTTGATGATCTTGGCTTGATGTTGACTGCCCCCCTTGGACGGAATCACCTAATTGGTGGCAGTACTGCGTAAGTATGTTGACCCAGATAACAGGCACGTACGTCGCCATTCTTGCACAGTGCTAGCATGCCCGTGGAATCTGCATCGTTTGGCCCAAAGCACGGATCAAAGTAGATCTTTCCTTCGCAGGACTTGGCCAGCTTGGCAACCTTCGACGCCACAAAGTTGTCCACTAGCTGCAGCGTCTCAACCAGCCGCTTGCCCGTTGCTCCGTGTATGCGCACGCTGATGATCGTGTCCATCTTGGAGCACACCACGTTGACGCCATGCTCGTTCAGTTCCTTCTCCAGATCCATTGCACCCGAACCAAGTGTCGTTGTTGAAAGGTCACGAGTTCGCAACAACCAATCGGGGCCAACAGTTGAAAAAAGAATGATATGAGTGTGAATTGACCCACAATTGTCACAACGTTATTAGTATTGTGCTTTTCAACATTTCTGCCAGTGGTTTTAGCAGTTTTAACGATTGAACGTTTTATATAAAGAATGGTTGCACTTGCTCTAAAACGAAGCAAATCGAAGGTTCTGTCATTGTTTAGTAATTATAGGTGCAATGGCATGGAAGGGTAGCTACTTGGTGTCAGCAGACAGTGGAGCACAGCGTCGAAGCAATACACTGTAGAGGCTACAGAGCAGAGTGTAGTGCATCGACGATAAAGGAGTCTCTACAACACTCCTCCGTACACCATCGTCGCTGCACTCCACCACCTTCCACCCGCCGAGTGCGAGATGGTGAGCGGTGGAGTGCAACGAAGATGGTTGACGGAGAAATGATATGCCGTGGACCTATGGAAAAGCAAGTGCAGCGACCATGGAGGATGGCCTCCACTGCACTCTACTTACCGCTTCCATTCTTGGTTGTCTTCGATCATCGCATTTGTAGGTAATAGTTCCGGCAGATCCCGTCAAGGTGCGGCACTGTCTTATGCGCGACATGGAGAAACGGCCACCGATGCACTCGACGGTAGCGTATAGCACAGTACAGCGACGGTGGAGGATATCCCAAATAACGGCTGCCGCGTAGCAACTGTGATGTCCACAGATGTAGTTCATCTGTGGACATCACAGTGGCCGTCCACCATCATCGCCGCACTTCACTCTCCGCTGCCGCGGCCACACTACAACGTCCTCCATCATCGATGTTATCTACACTCCATCGCCCGCCACGGTCGCCCCAGATAGCAGCAGGCCAGTGCAGCGACGATAAAGGAGTCCTCTACAACATTCCTCCGTCCACCATCTTCGCTGCACTCCATCACCCGCCACCTCACAATCGGCGGGGGAAGGCGGTGGAGTGCAGCGAAGATGGTGGAAGGAGAAGTGATGTGGCGTGGACCTATGGAAAAGGAAGTGCAGCGACAATGGAGTACGGCCACCACTTCACTCGACGGCAGCGGGCTGTGGGAAAAGCGATGGCGGAAGACATCGCAGTATAGCGCAGCAGGTACTCCAGATGTTTTCACGACTCGACGAGCGCAAACGCTTTATTTTCTCCGCATAGAGTGTATGCATTGGTGGACATCACAGTGGTCGTCCGCCATCATTAACGTTACGCAACCCACTGTCCGCTGCAGCAATACTACAATGTACTCCATCATTGACGCACTCCTCCATTCCGCTGCCTGCTACCGTCGCCGCAGATAGCAAAAAGACGGTCACCGCTGCACTCGGCGGCGGTGGTGTACGGTGGAGTGCTGGAGTGTGGCCGCGACGGCCGACAGTGGGGTGTGGCTATGGTATTGTAGACGACCACTGTGATGTCCACCATCATTGATGTACTACACCTAGCGATTCTAACGAGTGTCTCCCGCAGCCTCCGCGATCGCAGGTAAGTGGCTTCCGTAGTTCCATCTCGGTGCGGAAACGTCTTCTAACTGGCACTACCGTGGATTCCCCAACGTTAAACTAACTTCGCGTTGCGTCATCTACTTTAGAGACACTTGGGCAAGGATAACGCGCCGCCATCGCATGGCCTAGCTTAGCACTGCAGTAAAACACGTCGTTTACCGAAAATTCGTCGGCTTTACTGTTAAGCAAACCTTGCTCGGAAAACCAGCCAGAAGTTCCTCTGGTGTCCAATCAAAATGAACCAAACCCATACGATCCATAAAATCACCTCTAATTAGAGCATGGAATTACTAAAAAGAGTGGTACGTTTGGTGCTTCGTTTTACTAAAACCAGGCTGGACTCTTTTAATTCAACAATTATATTATATTAACCATAGTATCCAAGGTTGGTATTAATATTCAATGCTGTCCCGTTAGTCTTAAGTACAGTACTACGTGGGCCTATGTGTTGTGAAAAGCACAATACTTTGAAGCACAATAAACCAATAAACCCACCAATCACATGATATGGCACTAGTACTAAATTTCCGTTTGGGCAAGAAATATAAAAACAATTTCCAGTGAGATTGGTGTAATTGGTACTATTAATAGTAAACTATTAATAGTATGATTCAAATTATCTCGATATTGAAGTACTACTTAGCATCGAAATATTGAGAAATATCATGATATTAGGTGGCATCCAGCCTACTATACCTTTTCCCGATCAAAGTGATCAATGTGGCGATAAAAAATATAAAACGTTTGAAACGCAAAGGATGGTTACAAAGAAACTGCACATTTCCATTTCAATGTGGTTTTATTCCAATCAATGTGGTGCAAAGTCACATTCCATAGGACATATCCTCGAATCGAAGCGCCTTCTCGACATTGCGCTGACAAAACATAGCCTCCCGAATAACCAACGACTGGGTAATACATGGTAGGCTTTCCCGGGCAGCTTCTTCGAGCAATCGCATGCGACTTTCCAGGAAGGAATTGAACTCCCTGCTCTCAAACAGCAG